TTTTTAAATATTTGCCATTAATGAATCTCATGTGCTTGGTGCCGTCTAAATCTTCTAAATGATAAGCTCCATTAGGCAACACATTATTTACTTTATATGGTCCCTCCCAATTGGGCGACCATTTGCCATACTTTGGATCTTTGCTATCCAAAGGGAGTATTGTTTTCCAAACCAATTCGCCCAAGTTGAACGACCTGGCTATAACTTTTTTATTATAAAATTTAGCCATTCTTCATTTTTGAACTTGCAATCTATCTAGGACGTCCAACTTTAATTCGTCCAACTCCAATAAGTTTTGAATTAGTGATTCGGTATACTCATCACTACTTAACTTATGTTGTAAACACACTCTGATCGATTGCACGTTGATTTCAATAGGCAAAACGGCCTCCTGTCCATAAGTAAGTTAGAAAGGAGTAATTTTGGTACCTGACCGAGGCGACGTCCTATAAGTCCATAATACTTTGTTTAGACATTCGTGCCAATTTTTGACTTTTTCATCTATCATTTTCCTTATTATATTTTTTAGAATCTTATTAGAAGATTCTGCTTGTCCGTTGGATTGAGCGTAATATGGTGTGGAGTTCACTAATTTAACTCCAAACTCGCTCAAGAATTTATTCACTTGATCTCCATTTAAAGATGTTCCGTGATCTACCATCAAAGTTTGTGGAATTCCAAATCTATAAATGATGTGATCACGGATAAATTCTATGATATTCTTTTGGGTGATCTCCTTTAAAGGTATCGCTTCTACCCACTTAGTGAAATAATCAGTTGCAACTATAACAAATGCATGTTACTTGGACGATGGGGGATAAATCTTCCCTATCAGGTCTATCGCCCTACCCTTAAATGCCTAAGGTTTGATAATAGGTATCATCTCTCGTGCTGACGCCCTTTGTATTGGACCATGCTTTTGGCATGCTAGACAACTCTTTGCATACTGAACGCACAATTCTCCCATTTTTTGGCCAAAAATATCCATTCCTAATAATTAACTATCTCATCCTTTGGCCAGCTTGATGAACTCCACATATCCCTTCGTGCACTTCAGCCATGATCGTCCTGATTTCTTGCAAACTTATACATTTTAGCAATATACCATCAGAGCGTTTCTTAAACAACTCTTCATCTATCAGTGTATAGTTTAGCAAACGCAAATTCATTTTTCTACTATCTCCTTTATTAGGTTCTTTAAGGAACCTTTTAATCTCTGCCCTCCAATCTATTGCATCTCCATCTTGTATGCAATGAATTTCAATCGTTCTCACCCTTCTTTGGATCACGGGCAATATTGTTTCATATTCACAAGTAGACTTCCAATTTAAAACCTTTGAGTATCCTGAGGCCATCTGGGCCAATTCGTTGGCTACGTCATTATATATCCTATTAACACATTGAAGCTCTATTTGGTCGAATTCTTCCAACAACTCTTGGGCGGTTTCATACTGACTTATAATGGAATCACTTTGGCATTTAAAATCACCAATCAATTGGTGAATTACCAATTGAGAATCGTCTCTAATGATCACATTCGTTATCCCCATATCTATCATTAATTTTAGGCCCACGATTAAGGCTTCGTATTCGGCCTGATTGTTGGTGCACATCCTGTCCAAAGTAAATGAGAACTTGTAACAAATCCCTAAAGGATTTATCAATGCTACTCCTATTCCTGCACCTTTAGAAGTTTTCGATCCATCGAAATATAAAACCCAAGGTTTTAATTCGAATGAATTGATCTCTAACTCAATTTCTTTAGGCATATCAAGACATGAATGATCGGCCAGAAAATTAGCCAAAGCCTGATTTTTGACTGCCTTTTAGGGAATGTATTGTATTTCAAATTCTAATAAAGCTAATGTCCAAAGGCCTACCCTTTGGTGCAAAATAGGGCGAGAGAACATATATTTAACCAAATTTACTTTAGAAATTAAATAAACGATTACGGGCCGTAAATAGCCATTAATTTTGTACATGTGAAATATAATGCAAGACATAATTTTTTAATGGCAGAATAATTACATTTACATTTTGTTAACCATCTACTCAAGTAACAAATCGCCATTTCTTCACCAAATTGGTCTTCCTGCGTGACCATTCCAGCTATTGATTCTTCTTCAGCCGATACATACACTTTCATTGGTCGTCCTTGGATTGGTGACACCAACACTGGTGGACTTGATAAATATGTCTTTAAGTTTTCAAAAGCCTTTTGATGCTCTTCTTTCTAGACGAATTCGTCCTGATTTTCAACTTTAAAAGCGGCGAAAAAGTTTTAGTTCGCCCTGAACAGTTAGAAATAAAGCGTCTTAAAAAATTTACTTGGCTTAGAAACCTTTGCAATTCTTTTTTGTTGTTAGGTGATTTGGCCTCTAAAATGGCATTCGTTTTATTTTTATCAAGTTCAATCCCCCTTTTGTGTACTAAGAAACCAAGAAAATTCCCTGCATTAACACTAAATTCACATTTCAAGGGATTTAACTTTAGTTTATATTGCTTCATTCGCACAAATGAACATCTTAATTGTTTAAAATGGTCCTCTTCTTTAAGGGATTTGACCACTATATCATCTACATACACTTCAACAAACTTGCCTATCATATCATGAAAAATCAAATTCATTGCCCTTTGATAAGTTGCTCCTGCATTTTTCAGGCCAAAAGGCATAACTACCCATTCAAAACATCCTAGAGACCCAGGGCATCTAAAGGCAGTTTTGTGTATATCTTCCTCAACTATATAAATTTGATTGTATCCTGAATACTCATCCATGAAGGAATACATTACATGTCTGGCAGTCGAGTCTATTAAAGAATCTACCGTGGGCATTGGATATTCATCTTTAGGTGTGGCTATGTTTAGATTCCTAAAGTCTATGCACACCCTTAGTTTACCATTCTTTTGTAATACCGGCACGATATTGGACAACCATTCAACGTATCTGACCGTTCTAATAAAGCCTGCTTTTAATAATCACTCTATCTCTTTCTTAATTTCAGGGAGTACATTAGGAGCGAAACGCCTAAGAGGTTGCCTATGAGGTTTAAAATTAGGCTTGGTTGGTAATTTATGTTCCACCAAATCTCTATCTAAACCAGGCATATGTTCATATTTCCAAAGAAAACAATCTTTGTATTCCTTTAATAAAGCGATTAATTTATCAATAACCTCTTGATCGAGCATTTGACTGATGAACGTTGGGCAATCTTCTCCTTCATTGCCAATATTCACTTTAATCAGGGGGTCTTGTACTTGAACGTATCCAGGCTTGGTGATCCTTATCACTTCGTCGTCCAGTTCCCTTGTAGGCACTTATTCTTCTAAACAATCCACCTTGTTGACTTCTCGACCAATACTTTGTTCTAACTTGAACATTGCCAGTTTGTCTCTCAATGCTTTCAAAGCTGCAGCTTCTTTCGTCTTGTCCTTGCATTCTTTATTGAAAGCCATTAATTTGGCTTTGAAGGCCTGAATATCGGCCATTTGTCTTTGTTGTTTACAACTCATTTAAAACTCCTTAGTCATTCTTTTGCCAATTACTGGCTCCTCCAAGGCCACTATGTTTGGCCTCATCTGACTGAACATTTCTGTGAGTGCATCCACCGAAAACGACTCTTCACTCTGCGCGACAATCTGAGATTCTTCTTCATCTTGGACTACTTTGACAGGTCCATAATTTCCTTCGTACATGAACCTTTCCACTGAGTTTGCTTCTTCGACAAAAGGCCTATGATCGGCCTGCACCACCTTTGCTTCGCCCTTGTCATTCCAAAAAACTAGGCACTGATGGAGCGATGAAAGTATACAGCGACTTCCGTGTATCCAATGTCTTCCTAATAACACATTGTAACTAGTGGGACCATCTATTACAAAGAAGACTGTGGTCCTAGTAGTTGTTCCTATAGTTATGTCCAATGGCATAACCCCTTTAGCTGAAGTTGCTCCTCCATTGAAACTTGTAAAGATGACTTCCGTTGGGATCATATTACATTCTGTCTTTGCGAATTTCCTCATCATCCTAGATGGAATGGTGTTTATAGCTGCTCCATTATCGACAAGCACTTTTACCACAGGTATGCCGTTAACTAGAGTTTTAACGTACAATGGCCTCAAGTGTTTGGTCAATTTCATGGTTGGTCGCTTAAAAATAACTTTTTTGACAGCATCTATTTCCACTTCTTGCTTGTCCTCTGTCGAGTTACCCTTTTGTGATAAGTCAACGTGCAGCATGTCGCACTGAGCCTCTATCTCCTGAATTTGCTTTTCACTGTTTTCTAATGCTTCTTTTTCAGTTACTCAACCTGTGGGAGGAGGCATTATTCTTAGAGGTGATCCATACTTTTCAGAGCGAGGCACTCTCTTCCTCCTTTTGGGCGTCCTGTACATCACGTAAAAATCGAAAGAATGCCCAGATGGTTCTCCCAATAAGTCTACTTCACGAACTCCCTCTCGATGTAATTGCTTCAACATAGTATTATACGATACTCCTGTTCTTCTTCTTTCTGCTTCTAGATCAAATTCTTCTTCGATGTCTGTCATACCATCATCGTCTTCACCATTGTAAGCCTCTCTAGAAGTTTGGTCTTCTTCATATTCCAGCATGCATGTTTCCTCTTCGTTATCCTCCTTTTCTTCCTCTCCTTTCTCTTTATTCTTGAACTCATTGGCTAGTAAATAGTTATTAGCCACGACAGGAGGTAACGTACCAAATTGGATAGTAAGGGGCTGATCTGGATCTTCTCCATCCCCTCTGTCTAGTTCAAACTTCGATCTCCCAGAAGAAGTCTCTGGCAATTCTTCCATAGGTTCGCCTATATCAGTCTCTTCACTATCTTTGAGAACATTCTGATTGGCCATCTCGAGTAGTCTAGGTGCCTTAGGACGCAGCATTCCCTGTTGTTGCCTCATCATTCGCCCGTAGTTCCGTTGAAAACGCCTTTGTTGGGTTCTAGTCATCTTGTTGAAAGGTATCGCCCTTCCAGCCTCATACTGGAATGAATGCCATACATTTGGTTGGCAATGTTGCGGTCTGAATGCTCTCCCATTATTTACTGGCCTGAACTGCCTCTCAAAAGGCGGTCCCTTATAGAACAATGTACCCTGCCCTCTACCAGGCTGAGCGTTTGGAAAAAAACTAGGGCGACGGTGATGCTGCCATATCCCTGGTTTCTCTGCATTTGCACTCACTTCTTTTTTGCATCTTGCACATAGGACGTTTTCATCCTTTTTGGGCTCCTTCTCTTTGATACGTTCAAAGACACTGGGATGTGGTCCAGGGTCTTCTTCTCCATCATCTATAACCAACTTGAATTTTGGCAATTTGTTTTTGAAATTAGATGTCAGCATGTTCACTCCAAGTGGCTGTGGAAAAGGATTTTCATCCACTGTCATCTTCCTCTTATCCTCGAACGTAATTCGTCCTTTTTCAATGGCATCCTATAACACATGGTGAAAAACCAAACAGTTATTAGTCAAATGTGACCATACATTATGCCACTTACAATATTTTTTACCTTTAATTTGTTCAGGGCTTGACAATTTATACTTATCGCTCAACTTTATCTGCTTATCCTTATATAATTGATCAAATATAAGGTTAGTTTTGGCTACATCAAACGAGAACGTTTTAGCCTTTATGTTTTCATCTTTTATAGGCTCATCCTTGCCCGACGGCCTAGGCTTAGCCATTATAGGACAAGTATACATGTCTCCTTTAACTAATTCGGCCAAACACATTTCGGTTTGATCGTAATACTCGTCATTAATGGTATGAACATCAAAATTTGGGTTTCTATAATAAGTCCCCTTACTAGAATTTTTCATTTGTTCTTCTTCTCTTATTAATCGTTCATACCTAATCACGTTCACGCTCAATTGGAAAAGATCGAAAAATTCCTTGTCTTTGAACTTCTTCTTCAGATCAAAGCTTAGACAACCTTGAGCGATTTTGACAAACTCCTTTTTGGGCAAAGGTACAAAACATTTACTTCTTGCTGTCTTGAACCTTTGAAGGAAACCTTCTCCCCATTTGTTTGGCAGTTGACGTAGATTCACCAAATCAGCCAAAGTAACTTCAAAATCAGTCTTATAAAACTGAGAGTGGAACAATTGCTCCAATTGTTGCCATGTTTGAACAGAGTTTGCTGGTAAATTGATGAATCAGGAGAAGGCTACTCCTGTTAATGAACTAGAGAACAACCTCATTTTATGATAATCAGTTACGTCACCACTTTGCAGTGTGAATCGCCCTATGTGTTCTAGAGTAGACACCTCTCCTAAATCGGTAAACAGTGAGAATTCTGGCACTTTATACCCTCTAGGCCATGGATATGTTTGGTCTACCCAATCAGGATATGGCTTTGTGTAAGTCGGCCTAATGATAGGACATACTCCAAAAGCCATCTGATCCTGTACGATTTTCATAATCTGATTCCTCAACATGACGTTGGGGTCATATGGAATTCCTACAGATTGGTTGATCGGTTGATTTGCTTGAGGCCTGATATTTGGTCCTTGATTGGCAACAAAGTTACCATGATTTGGGCCATTGTTACTATTAACTTGAATATTTATTCCATCATTAACACGTGGGGTATTCTACCTATTATTTGGGACATTATCTCTTACATTTAGGTTACCCCCCAAGTTAGATGTACCAACGCCACCATTCTGATTTGGTATTACACCACCCCCTTGGTTTGAAGTAGAGGGGTCGAAAGGTGGTTCTACCCCTTGATTTAAACTTAGGACTGGAGGATTATGTCCTACAGTTGTCCTAGCTTGAAAGTGGTTTGCATGAGGCACAACTGGCTGACAAATTTGGCTTACTAACTTATTCATTATTTCGTTCAAAGTATTCAGTTGTTTGGCCATGTTGTCATAATGTGCATTCCCATTCTGGTTAAATCTTTTCATATTATGAATACTTCGTATATTTACCTGCTCAACGACATCTTGTGTGGGTTCTCCGAGTAATGCACGCATGGTTCGAGGACTCAACTCTGTCATTGGTTCGTAACGACTGTGATTGCTCTGATTCTGTCCATCTGTTCGTCGAGAGCCATGCTGCTCCTCATATCGCTCGATCACAGACTGGACTCCTCCCTGACTTGCTGCTTCTTTATCGGGTTTCTGAGGCATATTGTTTCACCTTTTGTATCTTCAACACCAAACACCAATGTCCCACTGGACGTGCCAAATTGTTTCGCGCGGGTTGTCGCTAACAATTAAAAAGGGATCAGACGATTGTGAAAGGAACAAACCTCTTGAGACAAAGTCCCAAAAAGAGGTGTTTTACTGGTGATGACTTTACAATTGGAACTTAAACAGAATGCCTCCAAGGGCGCAAGCACACGAGTACTGAAAAGAAATGTTTTAAGTCTAAACTAAGGAATTGAAATTACATATTCTCTGTTTGAAAGAGTCTGATTCGGAGTCTTTACTCTAAGTCTTTTCTTCCTTTTATATTCCCTTGATGCTCTCTTTGTGAGCAACCGCTTAGAAACCGCTTAATTGCTTTATAACTGTCCACTTTCTTCATGGTGGCCAACTTATCATGGAACTGCCGTCTCTAACTGCTGTTATTACTCTTTGTCGTTCAACCGTCCTCAACTGAGCATCATTGAATCGTGGAACGTAATAAGATTACCCAATAACTGCTTCGATAATTGCACTTTTGGATAATCATAACATCTTATATTTGCTAAGATCCTGGGCGATTCGAAGGTTTGGACGAGAACAGGGTCATAACTCTGGGCGATTGCAAGGTACTTCATTCGCTCAGATCTTGGGTATCTTGCAAATTTGGGCGATGGTATTACTGCGTTCGTGGGCTTCCACTGCATTCATTAATAACTCTATTTGGGCCTTTATCCTGAATTGCCCAGTTGGGCTTCATTCTTTAGGCTATTCGAATTGGGCTACACTTTTAGCGTGTGAACAGAAATATATTTAAATAATTATTTCTCAATCCTTTTATTGGATGAGTCTCCATGTTAAAACAAATTCAAATATCAATGGGAAACGTCCTGCATATTACCGATAGTATAAGCAATTTTTGATAGCAGTCTATCCAATTTTCATCGCTTGCTGTCACCGATTAGGTTGCTGATTCAATTGTCCAAAATAGGGGATTTCTTCTTAATCCATAATTTCCATTTCAGCAGTTGTTCTCTATGTCTCTTTTACTAGGGGTGAACACGGTTCGGTTTGAGACAAATTTTCAAATCAAACAATTTAAAATGGTTTGAAATTTTTCCAAACCAAACCAAACCACTTTAATTTCTAAACCTACCAATCCAAACCATTTTTTTCCAGTTTTGTTCGGTTTAAAACTACAGTTTAATAATGAAAAATTAATATATATCAAATAAGTTAAATTGTAAATAATAGTTTAAAATTTCACGTTAAAACAAAGTTGTATTATTAAAAAAAATTATAAATCAAAATTATATAAGTATAATCATTATAATGCAACAACATGATATAAATATTTTAAACTCTTAGCCAATACTAATGTCATCCATTTACAATTATAATACATGATTCATTCTATTCATTAATATAAAAATATAGCATAAGAATTCATTGATTATAGTTAAATGATTTGAAATAACTAATAAAAGAAAATGAATAAAAGAATAAAATACAATAATGCCTAACTATTATGAATTTTTATGAATCATTCAATACTTCTACTCTATCCAAATATTAGCGAATTACTTTAAGGGAGCCCAATAGTTATTAAAACAAAACAAAATAACTACCAATAAAAATATAGAAAAAGATTACCAAAGAATAAAATTTTTTGGATAATCTGACTTGAATTTAGGAAAATTTTAAGAAAATTATTGGTAGAAGGAAATGAAATGTGCAAGTTTGAATTAAAATCTAGATTTAATTGACCGTTCAATTATAATAGAGAATTGATGGATATGATTTAGCAGTAATTGTTCAACACTTTACCCAATTTAATGATTTTATATTCATAATTCTGCTGACTAATGGGTATTTGGATATGATTTAATTAATTAATTAAGACATAAAATTGTCAGATTGAGTTCAATTAAATTATGTCTAATATGGATGTAACTTTTTAATTGAAATGTGTTAAATTTTAATTGGGTTAAATAAAATTTAGACTAATTTATTTTCAGATTTTTTTGGTAAACGATTTGGCAGTTTGAAACGGTTTACGAATATTAAAACCTAAACCAAACCCCTTCGATACGGTTTGGTTCGGTTCAAAACCTAAACGTTGATGGATCAAGTGGAACCAAACCAAAGGTTTCAGAAAAAGGGCTTCGGTTCGATTTGTGGTTTGGCGGTTTCGTTGTTCAACCCTACCTTTTACAATTGTTTTGTAATTGACCTCTTTCCCATTTGGTACTTATTAAATTACATTCCATTTTTCTTTCTCTTATTTTTAACCACATAATTTTCAATAAAATAATATTACACGTAAATTAAAAAAATTTCCCTATTTTTTTAGCCACTCATTAAAAAAAAAAAAAAAAAAAACTATTTCACCCATTTTCATTTCCTCAAAATGGGGGCCAAACAGGGGCTTATTTTGAAACATACATCTATTCTAAAATAAAAGTTTACCATACAATTAACATTGATTCTTCCCGAAATTGACTTATTGTTTAACACAATTAAAGCTGATTCCATTAAAATATTAAGGATTTTTACAAAAATTAAAAATTAAAAACCTCTGTTTAGAATCTGTATCCATTTTACACGTTGTGTCATTTAAATTTACACTTCACATAATACATTTTACAGCATGACGAACAAAAATTACTTCTGCTAAAGAAATTATAAATTTTCCATTAAGTAGACCAAAATATACGTAATTAAAAATAACAAATCGCAACATTTATATTATATTATTAACAATTTACAAACCAATTTTTGCATCTAATTTAATTATTTTTCCTTTTTTATTCATCTCTCTCTCTCTCTCCCCCCCCCCCCCCCCCCCCCCGCCCACACC